CCTCTCACTGAAGAGGTAATTAAGTAAAGATCAAATATGGGGAGATATATATATATATTTTTTTTTCAAGCATTTTTTGTCTTGCAGTCACATCGAAGGAAAAATACATCCCCATATCCTGAAAGCTCTCCCCTCCCGGCTCCCAGCCTTTGTCTGCATCAGGCTGTTTCTCTCTTCCTTGTTCTACGGTGCCTGCAGCTGCAGTTAAAGCCAGAGCCACACCTGTCTCACTCATTTGCTAGTTTTTGTTGAAACAGAGAAACACTTTCCATCGATTTAGATGTGAGACATGGCTTTTCCTAGAGTACAAAGTGTCTGTCTCCAGGTCCATGTCTACCATTCCTCGTGAGCTCAGGAGGAGAGAGGTTGGAAGTAAGAAAATAGCACAAAGTAAGGCTTCCTCTTACAGGGTTCTCTGAGTGACAAATCTCAACCTTGGCTGCACCTTAGAATCACTCGGGGAGCTCTTAAAACTCCCCATTCCCAGGCCATGCCCCAGACCAATTAAATAAGAATCTCCAGGGGTGGGACCCAGACGTCAGCATGTTTTAAAGGCTTCCCAGGTGATGCAAATTGCAGCCAAGGTTAAGAGCCATTGTTCCAAGAATAGCTGCCTCCTTCTCTCCATACAAGCTGATAAAGACAATTTTTTCCAACAATTAAGCTAAGTTAGAAATGATCGAGTTCTCTTTTTAAACACCGCCTACATGACTCATATGTCCATCCATCCATCCGTGGATTCATTCACCCACCCACCCATCCATCCATCCATCCATCCATCCCTTCATCCATTCATCCCATATTTTACTGGGTACCTGCTATGTGCCAGGCCTAGTGCTGGGTATGCATTGTTAGACAAAACAAAATCCCTTCCTTCAAGATACTAAAAGCTAAACCATGGGGGATTCAGCTGAGTAAATGGATCCCAGTACCTTGTGGAGAGATGGGGAATAAGGCCAGGGAGCTGTGGGGAACAGAGAGAAAGGCTTTTACCCCAAGAGGAGCAGAGGGGCAGATGCTCAGAGGAAGTGGTGTCTACATGGAGACTTGAAGGACCAGTAGGGTTTGGCCAGATGAAGAGGTGAGTGTGGTTGAGGAAGGTGTGCAATAAGAGGAAAATAGAAAGCCATGGCACTCTTAAGCCATTTAATGCAGCTGAGCACAGAGTGGCAGTGGAGGAAGTAGGAGAGGAGGCTTGAGGCACCAGGTGGAGGAGGCTGGCAGGGCCGTATCACTAAAGGCCTCATCAGTGGTGTTAGCAGGTGGAATCCATCCCAAGAGCAGTGGGGAGCCATGGAAGGGTTTTCATCAGGAGAGTGGCCAAACCACATTAACTCCAGGTAGGTCCCCGGTAGACGGTGCTGGAAGCATGAGATTTGCTGCCTTTCTGAGATAAAAGACAGACTCTTCCATCTCTTGTTGATAGGGACAGAGAAGGGCTGAATATTCTTTTTTTTGATGTGGTCTCACTCTGTTGCCCAGGCTGATCTTGCAATCTCTGCCTCTCGGGTTCAAGCCATTCTCCTACCTCAGCCTCCTGAGCAGCTGGGATTACAGGCATGCCACCACACCCAGCTACTTTTTGCATTTTTAGTAGAGATGTGTTTTCACCATGTTGGCCAGGCTGGTCTCCAACTCCTGACCTCAAATGATCCACCTGCCTTGGCCTCCCAAAGTGCTGGGATTACAGGCATGAGCCACAATGCTGGGCTGAAGGGCTGTATATTCTTAACTGCCATGGCTCCAACCTTATCTCAAGCTGAGCTAGACCCGTGACTTCACAGGTCCTCTTACAGACCTTCCGGATGGACAATGCCCTGTATCCCCTGGGAATCAGCTGTCTCTACCAGGCACCACTCTTGTTCTTTCTGTGACTGAAGCTGAGGAGAAAGAGCACAGGCTTGGGGGTCAGACGGGATCCACCTCCGGTCATCACCTTTACTAACTATCCCTGCGTCCTAAAGGCAAGCAAGTCATTTCACCTCTTAGAGCCTTCTTTCCTCATCTCTTCATGGTCCTTTTGTTACTGGTCTTCATGAGACTGTAAATCTAAAACTGAAGGTGAGGAAAAGCACTTAGCACTGTTTTTAGCACTGTAGTTTGCTCCATAATTGGGACTTAGTAAACACTTATTCTTTCCCCACTCCATCACTGGGGGGCACCTGGTCTCCCCACTCCTGTTCACTACTTATAATCCCTGTCATATACAAACCCAGTGCAGTTACAAAGCCCTTTCATGTCCTCTAGTTCCCGTCTAGTTCACTCAGAATAAAAGCCAAAATCCTGAATGGTCTGCAAGGTCCCACATGAGCAGATCCTCCAGCCTCTCCACTGCCTGCTGACCTCATCATCTCCTTCTCCCCTCCTCACTCATTCATTCCCATTGTACCCACCTCCCCACTCCAAGCACACTCCCACCCCAGGGCCTTTGCACTTGTTGTTCCCATAGTTCGAAATGCTTCTCTCCAGATAGCTGCCTACATCCTCCAGACCTAAATATCTGGTTCGCTATTTGTCATTTTTTCCTCTATCCTTCATCAGAATATAATTTCCATGAGGTCAGGGTACGGTTTCTTCTGTATTGTATCCCAAGCAGCAGAAACAGCGTCTGGCCTGTAGCAGGTGTTGGATAAATATTTGTTAAATGAACAAATGCCTAAACAAACCCATTACCTCATTTGTTCCTCGCAATAGCCCATTTGACAGATGAAAAATACTAACACCCAAGTTCCTCGCAGCAGTTGCACAGCTGAGTGAGGCTGAGCTAGACGCAGAGCCTTGGCCCCAGCTCGCCTCCAACCACAGGTGGCACATTCCTCTGCTGCTGAGCGATTTCATACCATCAGGATTTCCCCTGACCTTTAGCCCTAGAGGAAATGATATCGCTGCAAATGGACGAATACCCAGAGGGCTGGGAGCTGGCAGCAAACACCCGGCAGCTGCAGGGAGTGTGTGAGTGGATTCCGGGTTGGCCAGGAGGCAATGGAACGAGCAGGATGTAGGCACGGAGCCTCCCATCTTCGCCTGGCTGTAGTGGGACCCTTTCTACAGGAGACCCAGCAGCTGCAGCCACTGCCTGTGTCACGGTCACAGAGAGGGAGAGAGGTGGTCTGCATGTGGGGAGTTGGGAGCAGGACCACATGGCTGTCTCCAGGGTCATCCAGGTCCAGGGATTGGGGCCATGGTGCCTTGTGAGCCTTGGTTGAGCAGTGCCGGAAGCCTTTATCTGTGGGGACAGCAAAGACCTCCAGGTGTCTGACCAGGAGACTGTGTCCCGAGCCCTCAGCTTCCCTGATGGCCTGGCCAACCCGGGGCTAACCATTTTGTGCCTCAGTTCTCTCCTCTGGAAAATGGGGTTACACATAAAGTGTTCTAATCAGGGTTAAAGGGGAGACTGGGAAATTGACTTGTAAGCTGCAAGTTTCTTAATAAATGCAAGGAATATTTTTGTTTGTTTAAAAATAGATTGTCCTTCGGTTGCTTTGATGTGGTTTGTGTGTGTAATAGTCTCTCCTGGACATAGTCCTTGTCCTCAAATCTGCTCCCTGGTGTTACTACCCACCCACTTACTCAGATCCCAAGGGCAGGCGGCATTGGTGTTCTCTCTCCTTCCTCAGATCAAATCCCCCAGCTATACCTGCGAGCTCTGCCTCTGACTATTCCCTAACACGACAGGTCCCAACACCTCCACTGCAGTGTTGGGTCCACACCACCATCCTGCCTCACCGGGACCCTTGCAAGGCTCCTAACTGTTCATCCGGCTTCTGCTTTTGTCTGCCTGTGCCCCAGGGCGATCTTGGCAAACACAAATAAAACACACATTCCTCTCCTGCTTTAAACCCTCTGCAGGGTTCCTGTGACAAAGAGAATAAAGTCACAAGACACAGCACAGTCTGGCTGGCAAGGCCCTGTGGGCCTGCCTCCCTTTGGCCCTGTTCCCACTTGCCCACCATGGCTGTCCCTCTTGTCACAAGCTCAGTCCCCATCCAAGCTCCTTCTGGATCCTTCCCCTGCAGAGGATGCCCTAGCCAGGATCTCCACATGGCCAGATCTTTCCTGCCTTTCAGATCTCACTGTCATCCCACCTCCTCAAGGATCCTCTCCAACCACCAGAAAAGCAGCTCCTCCCATCGTGTTTTATCACAAACTGGATTTGATCTTCTTCAGAGCATTTTCTAAACCTGCAATGATCTCATTCATTAATTTACTTACATGTGGTTTATGGTCCAGCTTTCCATTAGAATGACCTCTTGAGAGCAGGAACTCACCTGCCTGGTTCACTGCTGGATCCATGGTGCCTGGAACTGCACCTGGCACATAGTAGATCAAACAAATATTTGGTGATTGGCCACATTCCTGGCAGAGACAACTGTTAACACAGTTTATAAATGATGGCTACTAACAAATACATACAAGTGTCACTGTCCTTGGTGGACACAGTGTCTATGGAGTCTAATTTATAAGGTCAACACAGTAGTTCCTGCAGGGAGACTCACACCACAGAGGAAACCCAAATGCCGAGAGAGTGTACAGGGTAAGAAAGGCAGCAGTCGCCAGGCACATCGAGTATTCAGCAGCACTGGGCACATCTCCCTGCATTCTGCACCAGGCAGACTCCAGGCCCAGAGAGGATACTGTTTGTACTTGGCCTTTCTTATGGATGTGGGGGGTGAGGAAGCTGATTTGGGGTTGCCTGGTAACTGTAAATTTGATTCTGGGTGCCCTTGAGCTGATCCAGGAGAGTCATCCTTTTATCAATCTGTGAATTATATGTGGTTATATTTATATAGATCTATATATACAAAGCAGGTTTGTTTTCGCCTCACGTCTAGAACAGTGCGGGACATGTGGTGGGTGCTCAGTTGATTTGTGGAATGAGTCTTACGGATCCACGGTGATTCTGATCATCCCTAGGTGACCAGGTAGGCTCCCTCATCCCTTGGTGCTGATGCAGAGAAGGCTGATGTATCCTCATGCCCCTTTCTTCTCCATTCCTCTAGGTGGGCTTGAAGAGGAGGCATCTGAGAGCAGCCCAAACGCCACAGCCACGGACACTGGCACCAAGGAAGCTGGAAAGGGTAATGTGAGCCCTCACCAGGTCTTTGGGTACCTTGATTTCTTTCAGTTGTGGGAAAATCCATGTGACATAAGACTTACCATTTTAAAGCTTCCCCTTTAGTGGCATTAAGTACATTCACAATGCTGTATAACCATCAGCCTTATTGAGTTCCAGAGCTTTTTCACCCCCAAGGCAGGCTCTGCACTCATTAAGCAGTCACTCCCTCTCCCTTCCCCAGTCCCTGGCCTTCGATAGCTCTTATGGAATCTTTTCCTATCTCTGTGCCTGAAAGGGACTAGAAGCACTAAAGTCTGTGGACGTGAGCCGGGCTGGCTTACTGCTGTTGAAAGGGATGGAAGGGCAGCATTTGGTGGTCAGGAACAGTATGGCTCTCAGATAAACTCTGCTCTCTTGGCTGGACTTTTCTCCCTTGTGCATGGCTCGTGAGCTGAAGCCCATGAAGACCTTGGAGGGGCAGATAATGTGGCTTTGGGAATTGAGTGTGGGAAAATGAATGGGTGAGGGAAGCGAAGAAGAAAAATAAAACTGGAGTGGGGATTGCGGGGGAGGTGTAGACTAGAGACCCCATGGGCTGCTAAGTGGGAAGCAGGTGAGGTGCTGATTGGCTGTGAGCAGGGGGCCCGGAGCCTGCCCAGAAGCACCACCACTGCCTGTCTGTACACAGATGCTCAGACCTGAGTGTGGTCTGCTGGTTGTTGAAGAGTTTCTAGGTCACCTATCACTGGACACATCTATTTTGGAGAAGCTTTTCCTGTTCAGAAGTGGTGCTGGAGGAGAGGGGCTGCCGGACTTCTGTCTGGCCTGCATCTTGCAGGAATCATGATTCACAGTCAGCAGTGGTATTTCTTCTACACAAATGTAACAGCAAAGCAAAAGGAATAATTTTTAAATGCCAGAATCTTATGTCTCAGGGATGACTATGTAGGAATGAAATAAAAATCATTATGTATTTTGTGTTTCAGCTTTCATGCTATTTTATATATTTTTTACATATATACCTGTATATATGTAATTTTACACAAATGTACAAATGTGACATCATCATACATTTAAAAGTGCTAAGTACTTTTTTTTTTTTTTTTTTTTTATGGACAGAGTTTCACTCTATTGCCCAGACTGGAGTGCAGTGTCATGATCTCGAACTCACTGCAACCTCCACTTCTGGGATTCAAGCAGTTTTCCTATATCAGCCCCGGAGTAGCTGGGATTACAGGTGCGCGCCACCATGCCTGGCTAAGTTTTTGTATTTTTTCTAGTAGAGACGGGGTTTCACTGTGCTGGCCAGGCTGGTCTCGAACTCCTGACCTGTGATCCGCCCACATCGGCCTCCCAAAGTGCTGGGATTATAGGTGTGAGCCACCGCGCCCGGCCTCTGAAAGTGTTATATTCTTTTTATTTTCCTTTTAGTGTGGCTGCCTCCTTTAGGGTTCTTTTTTCCACATATCACCCCTCTACACTTTCCCAGGTAATAATGCATGCTAGTGACTTCGTATACAGCCTTCATATTTTTCTGCTTGCACATACATTGATATATGTACAGAGATATACATATATATAAGTACACATCTAAAATAAATACAGATACAGGCTTTGTCCCTGATTAAAAAAATAGGATCACATTCGAGACACGTTTTTTCTGCATCATGCTTTTGTCATCAATACCTCATGGGCAAAACCCCTCCAAGGCGCTTGTTATAACTTAAATGTAGATAGTCCTGGCATGGATGGATCATAATTTATTCAGTGGCTTCCTTATCAATTAGCATTCAGTTCACTTCAACCTTTTGCCATCATGAACAATGCCTGCAGTAAACGTTTCTGAACATATACCCTTACATATTTAGTATGTTTGTAATAGATGTTGCTAGGTTGTGTTTCAAAAGGTGTAACAATTCACATTTCCATAGCAACTGATAAGTACTCCTTATCCCATATTCTTACTAGCAGTAGGGAGAACTCTATCAGTGTTTTTAACAAGTAAGCTGTGGCTTATTCATGTTTAATTTGTACTCCTCTGACTGTTGGTGACTTTGGACATTTCTTCCTATGTTTGTCAGTGGGACTTGCCTCATTCTATCTTGTGCCCATTTTCCTATTGGGTTTCTGATCCTCCTCTTCAGGTTCAACTTCCTTTTTTTTAAGACGGAGTTTAACTCTTGTTGCCCAGACTGGAGTGCAATGGCGTCACCTTGGCTCGCTGCGACTTCTGCCTCCCGGGTTCAAGCGAATCTCCTGCCTCAGCCTCCTGAGTAGCTGGGATTACAGGCATACAGTACCACGACCTGGCTAATTTTGTATTTTTAGTAGAGACAGGGTTTCTCCATGTTGGTCAGACTGGTCTCAAACTCCTGACCTCAGGTGATCTGCCTGCCTCAGCCTCCCAAAGTGTTGGGATTACAGGCATAAGCCTCAGTTCGATTTCTTTTAGACAGAGGCAGATTCTTTACCTCTACCACTGGGCAGATTACCGTGCCCAGCCTCAGTTCGATTTATTTTAGAGAGAGGCACATTCTTTAGTCACCCATTTGACAAATCTGCATTTGTTTCTTAGCTATACAGCTTGTGGTTTGGACTATGTGCAGGGCTTGCTTTCAGATCCATGTTTTTCTGCTTTGCTTATTTAAGGGTATTTTGACTTATAAATTTTGGGGCTCCCCAGACATCTGTTAAATTCAATGGTGCTTCACTTGGCCACAAATAGCCAGCACTTAGTGGTAAAAATGGAGCATGTGTGAATGAATCCAGCAGGGTTTGCCATCACACTGCAGTGACAAAGATGCCACACTCATTCTTTTCTTCCTTATTTACGTGATTTATTGTTGCGTAAAGACCGTCTCCAACCTTAATGACTTCAAGCAATGATTTGTTATTTTCATGATTCTGGGGGTTGACTGGGCTCAGTGGGGTGGTTCTTTGGCTGATGGCATCTGGAGTCACTCACTTGATTGCATTTATCTAGCAGGTAGACTGGGCTGGAAGGTCCAAAAAAACTTTAGCTACACCTCTGGTGCCCCAGTGTACCTCCTCATGGCCCTGCTCTCCATGCGGACTGTCACCATTTAGTTGTTTAATCAGAAACTTTTCATAGCATGGTGATTGGCTTCTCAGAGGTAGGGAGCAGAAGCGCCAGTCCATTTAAGGCCTGGGCTCAAAACTTCAAGAATCCTACTTCTAATCCATTCTATTAACAAAACAAGTCAAAAGACCAGGCCAGATTCAAGGAGAGATAAATAGATTCTGCTCCTTCATGGGAGAAGTGGCATGTCCTCACAGGGATAAGGGGACTTGTGGCCATATTTGGAGACTATCTACCCACTTTCCACCTTGCCTCTGCTCCCTAGCAATAGAGATTGTCAGAGTTTTTGATATTTACTAGTTTGTTGGGTGTAAAATGACCCAACTATAAACTTGGACAGTCAGACACACTTGGGTTTGAATCCCAGCTCAGCCACTTAGTAGCTATGTCTTTGGATAAGTTATTTAACTCCTTGTATGAAGTTTAGAGGGAATTAGAAATAATATTTCTGTAAAACACAGAGCCAGGTGTCTGGAACTTAAAAGAGGCTCAAGGAATGTAGCTCTTCCATTTCCTTCTCCCCACCTTCACCTCCAGGAATTATGTTATCCAGCATTGAAAGTGCATCATCTACCTCTGGACTGGGATTCCACAGCTGTGCAACAGCTGCATAGAAACACAATTACAGAGGACAGGAAGGAATACGGCTGCTGTGGCCCATTAAAATTCTGCCGCTGGTGGGGTTGTGTGCAGCACCCACACTGCAGCAAAAGATCTTGGGCTTTTCAGGGAGGGTGATGATAGCACTCCCCCAGTCTGCGATCCCCCAAATGACCCTGGTTTGTTCGAAGAGGAGAAGGAATGTGCAGCCTAGGCCAGTCCCTCCACTCTGCATTACGGCAGCAGACAAACATGTTTTAAGCATCTGGGGCAGTTTTGGGGAGGAAGGAGATCTCCAAGTGAGGGGAGGGCAGACTGTTCTAGCCAGTCCCTCCATCCTTCCCATCCCATTTCTCAGGATGCTGTCTGCCCAGCCCTGGATACCTCTTGCTTTTATTTGAATGAAAGATAAGACACATTGTGTCAATCTCGGGTTCCCTTTCATCACAACTTGCCCCCCTCTCATCACCCCCAGGAAAAGAGACCTCCCAGGCAGGAGAAAGGATCTGAAGGAAGCGCCCAGTTTCGGCAGCAGGTTTATTTCCTGGCATTATGTGGCTCCCCTCAGCCCTGACGGTGGGGATTTGTGCCTCTAGCTCTGGGGAGGGGGAAATGGCTGAAATGCTCACTCAGCATCCCTCCCCCACCCCCCACAGACCTTTTGGTCAGAAGGCTCTCCCTTCTCTGGAGATGAGAGCTCAGCACGCATTTCAGGGCTGATAATGGGATTAATGAAATGGAGTGTGCAAGTGCTCGATGAATGAAGCTGTGACTGTTTTGATAGAGCCTGATTTCCAGAACCATATTCATGAACGAGAATGGACCTTTCACTTTCAGTAACTTTTCCTAAGGGCTTTGTGTGAAAGCACATAATAATGGAATCTGGTTGAACCAAAGGACAGGCATCCCACAAACCTGGGTGCAAAACAGTGCTCAATGCTGGAATTCCTAACATCACTTATGTTAGTTTACTTGGGTGTAACAACTGAGTCCCACAAACTTCAGGCCCTCCTTTTTAGCCTGTCTCAAATGCAGACTTTCATAGCCATTGTGGCAGCTCACACTGAGCCCTTACTCACCACGGGCATTTGACATTCATTACCTGGGTCACCACCGTCCTGCAGCAGGAAGTGAGGCTCCAAAGGGGAAGTGATTTGTCCAAAGCCACATAGGTAGCAAATGGCAGCATTTATCTTGAGCTTAAGTCCCCCTGACCCCAAACCCCTTGATCTTAACCTTTGGGTTGTATCAGTGGTTCCCAAACTTCACTGAGCTTTGTAATCACCTGGGGAGCTTTAGAAACTGCAGGTGCCTTGACTCTA